AAGAAATCAGCTGGATGGAACCTTTACAGGTCAACCTATCCACCCCCACATTCCCATACCCACAGATCTGTGTATTAACACCCAAATAAACATAGATTGATGTCAGTTCATTTATGAATCAGTGCAAGTGCCCTTATTGTAGGCACGGGCACTGTCTAAGCCACAATTTGTCTTCAGTTATTCCTTGAGCACACAACAAAATGGTCTGCACTGCAGTTTCTGAAGAAAGATAGCACAAGGGGGTGTAGGTGCACAAAAGGTTTGGAAGCATACGCTTTGGGTTACATGCAAAGCTGATAAAAAAAACCCCACCAAACTAACAAGGAGAACTAATGCAGTTTATTACAGAACCAGTAACTAGCCTGATGATGCACTCAGAGTTCAAATAGAATAATTTGAGTCTGTTCAGACTGTGGAGTGACCTCATTGCAGCCTTCCAGTACCTAAAGGGAGCCTACGAACAGGAGGGAAATCAACTCTTTACAAGGGTAGATAATGGCAGGGCAAGGAGAAATGGTTTTAAGTTGAGGGAGGGAAGATTTAGGTTGGATATCAGGGGGAATTCCTTTACAGAGAGAGTGGTGAGGTGATGGAACAGGCTGCCCAGAGAGGCTGTGGATGCTCCGTGTCCCTGGAGGTGTTCAAGGCCAGGTTGGATGGGGCCCTGGGCAGCCTGGTTTAGTATTAAATGAGGAGGTTGGTGGCCCTGCATGTGGCAGGGGGGTTGGAGATTCATCATCCTTGAGGTCCCTTCCAACCCTGGCCATTCTGCGATTCTACGATTCTATGAAATGGCAAGTTCTTACAAATGGCATCTGATATCAGGTATAGTTACTATGGTACACAGTGGCTACAGTAATACAACCCTGTAGAATGGCCTAGAAATTATTATGGAGAATACATTTTCTAATAAAATTATTAGACTGAAGTGTATATCTTATCGTGCTACTTCAGAGCACATAGTAATGGAACGCACAGCACAAACTGCCATTTCTTCAAGTAAATTATTTCCACATCTTCTTCTTGTGTAAATGGTCAATTGGTACGTTAAGTCAAAGTCAATTTATTTTTAAGACTAAGTAAGTTATCTTTCCTGCGAATATTAGCTTTCTGCATGGGTAACTTGTGTGTGCAAAATACAGCACATTGTTTACAGTGTGATAGAAACTTCAGAAAAGCATAAACTTCAAACACAAGGCAGAAGGTTTTAAACAGAATCTTCCGAAAACAAGGACAAGCTTCCTCACAGTAAAAACATAAGTAACCACACATTTCCAGAATAACTTTAGGACCCAAACCTCAGAAGACTTTCAGAGCTGCTGTGCTTTTTTAATACATGAAGACTCATCACAGCATAGAGCAGGACTGTTTTTACTGCGTTGGTATAAGTAGATGCATAGATTTTCACAGGAGTAAAGTCAACATGAGCAAAGTGTTATTCAATGCAAGTAAAAATCTAAGATATTGGATAACAAGGTCTTCTACATCTCTCAGCATACCAGCTGGTTATACACTGGTATCAAAACGCTTCACAAAAAGATGCCTGCCATAGGTTTATGTGTAATTCACGGTCATGTGGACAGGGTAAATGGGATCTATTTCATTTAGCATACAGATGTGAACATATCTGAGGAAAGTGTGGTCTGCCAGATGGCTAAAACTACCTGCAGATGCAAGGCCTGTGTACTTCACACAAGTATAATTTAGAGGGATAAAACACTTCTGTTTTTCTTCCTCTATGACCAACCAAAGACTTCAAAAGCTTCTGTTTTCAGTGGGGAGCTGCTGTATGGTCGAGTTTATTTTAAACACCTGAAATATACAACAATGTAAAAATATCATTGTTCTTTTCCAACCACAGTGTGCACCCCTAGTTTGATATCTGATCAGAAAATCCCCAAGCCCGATTAAAAGCCTACCTTAGCTATTGGAAAATTAACTGTGTGCTATGAGTTTATACAGTGTTTTTACAACTCTTCTTTAGAAATGAGTACCTGGTCAATTCTGAAGAGAATTTTAATCTCTAGCTGGCCTCTTTAGTCCAGAGTCAGATACTTTTGCCAGAGATGAAATCTTGCTTGAGACCACATTGTAATAACAGAATCATAAAGGTTGGAAAAGACCACTAAGATTACCTAGTCCAACTACTGACCCATCCCCTTCATGCCTACTAGCCCATGTCTCTCAGTGCCATATCTCCACATATCTTAATCTCCCTGTAAAAGACACTGAAGAGAGTAGGAGGGCAGAAGGAGGATAATCCATCAGTATAGCTCACTGATCAAAATTAAGACCCCTGTTTCAAATATTTATCAGCACACATTTTCCAAGATGTGCAATAGTATGTATTTTTAGCTAGTTTTGGTGAAAAAACAAGCTTATTGCTTTCACTTGCTGATAGACAAGGTAGTGTGACTACAGCTAAAATGGAGGCACACAGTTAATAACAAAGAATAGCAAGTGCATGTGCCTGCCTAAATCAGTTTTTTTCCACTATCCTGGAACAAGAAGGTTAGTTTCTATTTTATGCTTATTTAATTACGAATAAGATTCCTTAGATATGTTTCTACAAGAATAATAACAGCATTCATCCACGTAGGCCTACAGAAGTTAATTTATATATAACTGTGTACTTTCCGCTGAGTTCTTGAAATCTGTGGAAATTTGGTCAGCAGCAACACGTTCTACTTTCTCTCTATGCTGTCTCCTCTTGCCAATGATTATTTTCTGCAGTGGGTAGAAAATTGAAATTTTTATGAAAACTACTTCTAGAGCATATTAATAAACAAATGGATGGAAACTACAGTGCCAGGTACTTGCCTCTACAAGACTTAATGCTTGTAGATAGTCATTCGTTAGAAGAAACGCTAGCTTGAAAATCTAACTTTACTATTGGATATACAGAACAAATTTCTGTATGTATAGAAAATTCTATTCAACCATTAATAAGAGCGTGCAGAAAAGATGGAGGAGAGAAAGCTGTCTCAGAAGCATGTCACACTGCTCTTCTGAAGATGTAGGTGTTCTCTGGGGTATGCGTCCTGTTTAGATTCACACTTGATAGTGAGATCTGCAAACATTAAACACACCAGCTGCAAAGCAAAAGCAGAAGCCAAAGGAAAATAACATCTCACTGTGAATATCCATACTTTCTGAGAAGGAGGCAGAGGCTGTCCTGTTGCTGAGGCTCTACAGCTGAGTCTTTTTCTGTGAGATACTCTATGCTGTTAATCTTCTGACTATCACTGAGTAACTCTTCAGATGTCTTCAGGCCTTTTTTCCCCATAGGGTTTACTATTTAATTTTAAATTGAACAGAAGGTTATTCATAACCAAAGAAGATCTATTTAATACCTGCTCAACTCTTAGGATCACCATAAAGAAAATACAAATGGTAGCATGGTACTTGTAGCAATGCAGTACTTTCAAAACACTGTTTATCCTAACAGCCAGCCAGCTCCACTGCCACTCACTTGTGGAGATGCTAAGAATGCACTAACAGCTCCTAGCATACTGGCCTCTAACAGGGTGAAACAGGCAACGAGGGTTCTGCAAGCAGTAGAAATTATGAGTCATGTAACATCCTTTGCCCATGTGAATTCTTGGAATCAAGCAAAAGAGGAATTCCTATGGCAGCTTTTCTTCTGTGGGAACATTAAGGGGATCTCTGCCTTTTACTGTTGAAGTCTCTGAGATTTTGCCTCCTCCACCATTCAAGCAGCCAGGTCTTCTTGCACGCCAAACTGTGGGCTGCACTGTGTCAGAAAGCATCTGTAATGGTGAAGGGAAGAGGGTTGGAGGGGAGGCCTCCACATCTGTTCACCTCTGAAAATGAGTATTCTCGGGCACACTAAAGCAATACTTTGTATGTGAATTCAAGTATTGATCTGTTTTGCTGTATTAATCGTAAAATTGTCTGAGGACTGTGCCACAGGCAGGAGTGCAGCTGGAGCCCAGCCCCGCGATGGCACACAGCACTGCCTGACGGCCACATGCCATGCGTGACAGCAGGCGGTCATCCATGGAACAAGCCATCACCTTGCGTGGCTGACTGCAGGAATCACGTTTGCGTACATTCAGAGTGTAAGACATTGGACATCGTGTACCATTAAGGAACTAAGTATTTCTGCCCTTGACTTGTTTCAGTTTGAGCAAACAGAGCCTGTTTGCCACACGGGTACAACTCACAGGACCGGAATTTGCGGGCAGCCTTTATTGGTCTACAGCATTCAGCAACTGGGGCGCTCCTTCGGGTGAGGACAGCCTCTCTCTATCTGCCCCGGCCCTGAGCCGGCCTCGGGGCTGCACCAGCCGGGCACATCGCCGCTCCGAGAGGCCACCGATCTCCGGGAGCCGCCTCAGGACAGCCCGCCCCGCGCACGCCGAGGAACGACGCGGACACGCTCGGCGGCCACACGTTTTATTACAACGGCCACAGCGGAGCGCGGCACGACGCGGGTCACACGGAGAGCCGCAGCTCGCCTTGGCGCGGCCCTCGCTCCCGCCTCCCCGCGGGCACCGCCACCAACGGCCGCCCCTAACGGCCGCCGCACCGGCAGGGGCTTTAACCCCTTCTCCTCCCCGGCGGCCGCCCGGTCGCGCTCAAGGCGCGCCCTCCGCTCCGAACGAGGTCTCGCCTCGGCCCCGCGAGGCCACTCCGCGCAGACGAGCCCCACGGCCGGCCCCGCCCGCAGCGCCGCCTCGCACCTCGCGTGAGGAGAGGGGCGGGCCGCCCCGCTCCAGGGGCCGACACCCCGCCGCGCGGGGGGAAGGAAGGCGCGGCGCGGCACCCGCTCCCCGCGCGGGGCCGCCCCCAGTATGGCGACAGCGTAGAGGAGCGGCTGCGCCGCCGTGCCCGCCCCTTCCCGCCTCCCTCGGCACAGCGCGGCGCGCCGCGGGCGAGCGAGCGGCTTCGGCGGGGCGGCTGCCGCCGGTGCCCCACAGAGCGCGGCGCGGCGCGGCGGGATGGCGGCGGCGGGGCCGAGCGGCGGCGCGGCGGCAGGCAGCAGCGTGCCGAGCAGCTCACGGCGGCGCCCCGCACCCGCCGGCAGCGGCCGCGCCGGGACCGCCAGCTGAGCCGGATCGCGGCGGGCGGCTCTCCCCTCTCGGCACCGACGCACCGAGCGACGCGTTCCCGTGCCCGTGTCCGGCGCCTTCCCCTCAGCAGGGCGGCGGGACCATGGGCGCGAAGCAGAGCAGCCCCACCGCCGCCAACGGCCGCACCCGGGCGTACTCGGGCGGGGATTTACCTTCCTCCAGCGGCGGCGGCGGCGCTAACGGGACCGGCGGGCGGGCGGCGGGCGGGCGCTACCCGCACCTGGCGGCGGCGCCGCACGGCGCTCCCGGCGGATCGGCGGCGGCGGCGGGAGGCGCGGCGGGCTCTGCGCCCCGCAGCAGGTCCCTGGGAGGTGCCGGCGCCGCGGCGGCCCGCTCCGCGCAGTCCGCCTTCAACATCCCCCACAGCAGCGGCCCCTACGGCTCGCAGGACTCGGTGAGCAGCACCCCGGAGGAAGGCGGCCGGGAGCGGCCCGCGGGGGGCGGCGGATCGGCCGGCGGGCCCCGGCTGGTGATCGGCTCGCTGCCCGCGCACCTCTCGCCGCACCTGTTCGGAGGTAAGGGCGGCCCGGCGGGCGGGAGGCGCGGGGAAGGAGGTCGGGAAGGGCCCGGGGGGGCGTCCTCTCCGTACCCGTCGAGGCCGGAGCCCGCACGGGTCGCCGGGGGACCGCCGTCTCCCCGCGTTTGTGAAGAGTTTGTGGGAAGTGGGGGCTGAAAACTGAAAGCAAACCCGAAGCGGCGCGGCCGGCACGGTTAGGAGGAAGCGGAGCCTCCCGGCCGCCGACTTTAGACTTTAATAGCCGTAATCAGTGCCTGTGTAAATACTCCTGCCTACTACTTACATAATTAGAATTTAATTGGATCATGCGTCTCGGCCGTTTATTCTAAAATCGGACCAAACCCCTCTTTGGATGCTGATCGCTACTTGGCCGGCGCTCGTGCCTTCGAAGCTCTCGGGTTGTGAGTTGTGTGAGTTAAGAAAAAGAGAAGCGAAAGAAAGTTGTTATTTCCCCTAAGAGAGGGGCACGGAGGGCAGCTGTCGGTGTTTCCTGTGCAGCAGTCCCGGGCACGGCCACGTGCGTGGGGCAGGAGGCGACCCGACGGTCCGGGCTCACCGAGGAGCAGAGGCCCTTTGAGAAGTGCATTAGAGCTGGAGCGAGTGGGTGCAGCTTTTTGTCTCAACAGTTCTATTTATTTAGCTGGTATAGGGTTTGCTTTTACTGCCTGGATTCTCTCCTTTAATTAAGAGCCTGCACGGAAGCTGCCGGCTGCTCTCAGCGCTGCTCATTCTAAAGGTCGCTGTTTGTGCTGGTCACGCACTCAGGTGCAAGGTGACCTTTTCCAGTGGATTCATTCTTTTGATAATACCGATATGTATCATAGAATACATGTCTTACAAGCAGTTTGAATACCAAACAGCTTCCCCAACAGCTTTATTCTGGGAAGGGCGGGACTCATATCAAATTACCACGTTTCTGTATTGCAATTAATGGACTCGTGCGTGGCATTTGCAGCAGACTGGGTTTCCTCCTTTGCTCTGATGCGACCTGTTGGCAATCAGAGCCTGGCGGGGCGTGCAGAGCTCTGTCACATGCCCACAGCTGCACTGACCTGGGGGCACCAGAGCTGTCACTGCCTGCAGCCAAAGCCATCTCCTCCCTGCGCAGTGCTGGGATGCAACAGAGAGCTGCCAAGCCCTGTCATGTTAAAGGACTATTTGCCCTGAAGAAAACTACTGCTGTCGTAGCACCGAGCTGCTGAATAGTAGTGCTTTGTTGCAAGGGTACTTGCTGTAGCATCAGGATAGCTTGCTAAAGGTAGGTGCTTCTTCTGGTGTTTCTTTTAGTGAGGAAAAGATGCCCTATGATGAGTGTTGTGAGGTTCATGCTAAGCACAAGGGAATCGTTAAAGCATATAGCTTTAATGTTGTCCAGAAGAAAAACTTTTTTTTTCCCTTCCCAAACATTGTCTGATAGCCTGCCTTGCTTCAAGGAAGCTCCGAATTAAATACAAGTGCAGTAATGAGGAGCAATAATTTACCTAGGAAACTGGTCACCTGCAAACAACTGGTCTCTTCCAAACAACTCTGAACTTGATTGTTTTTTTTTTATGGTAGTGTTATTTATTAATTTATGTAATAATTACTGTACTACAGCTTGTTTTGTCTTTTACAAATCTCTGAAACTGTGCTATTAAAGGGGATGTAGGCTGAGATGAAGCAGAGCTTATTGCTTCTACTGGTGCAGAAGTAGCACCAGCAGAGGTGCATTCTCTTCATCTCCTCACTAATGAACAAGGAATGCTGTATGTTGGGATTTTAGTAGCAAGTGTTAAAATAGGTTCTCCTTAGGTGGTCATGAGGTGATCATAAATCATTTTGCTTTTTCTGTTCTAAAAATCTTAGTATTTCGTATCAGGATGAGTAACTGTTAAACTGGAATACTGCAGTGCTTGTGAAAAAGACCTCATTTGAAACATTCCTTTTTTTACAGTTTAAATATTCTGTGATATCAGTGACACAACCGGGTGATGCTGAATGTAGGCATCCCAGTTTAGTTGCATGCTTTATTTTTTCTCTATTTCTCATACCAATTAGGTGCTTGGAATGCATATCCCCACTGAAGATCATAACTTGGTATCCTCAGCATAGTGAAAAATAACTTGAAGGAGTGTTTTTGACCTGATGGTAACTAGCTCAAGCTTGTCTAGGTGTGGTATCTGGCATTTAACTTGTGTATTAAATGCAAGCTTAAAGTACCCTCCCTTGTTTTGTAACTTGCAAACAGTATTGTTTCTTTTTGTCTTGAAAACACCAAAAATAACTTGGAGAATTAGCACAGTGATTCTATTCAAATTAAAAAAAAAAAAAAAAAGAAGAATAAATTGAACTGAAGTTTTTTCTATTTATAGTTTTAGGGATACTGCTTGGCTTCATTGATCTGTGATGTGTGGGTGGGTGTTGTACTTTTGTGATTACTGTAATTAATTTACCATTAGGGAATTACACTGTATTGCCATTTTCACTGAGCAGCTTTATATACAGAAGAGAAATATATACATATTAATTCTCTAATGTAATGCATTTAAATCCATACTATGCTTATTAATGTTATTAACATACTAGAATATAGATAGCATTGTATTTTCAAATATTAACATATTGCAGAATATGATGATATAGCTGCTCTGTTCCTTTGAGTAGAATTGCAGTAACAGCAGCTTTGCCTAGCTCTGAGGATCCAGTGGTCCTGTCTGACCTCAGGCTTGTGTACCTCATGGTCACAATGGAATGGAGTAAATACTGCTATGCAGCCTTGTGTCTTAGCTCAGATTAACATTCACGGACAAATTGAGTCCCTGTCTCACGGAATAAAAATAAAAGAACTCCAGGCCGTGTTTACGTCTGTGCTACAGGCACTCTTGGAGTAGTCTTAGAGCGCTAAGCAGAATGAGACCCAAATTCCATGAGATCTTATGGCACTCCCAGATGTAGAGGACAAACCTACGCGTTATGTTCAAGCACTTTCTTGCAACACAGTGCCAAGTTCCAGTTTCCTTTAAGGTGATAACGCTGCTATCAGGAGTTTGAACCAGTAGTTTCCCACTTTGTTCCTCCGTGAACAGGACTTCCCTTCTTGGCCCCAAAGTAAATATTCTCACCTTTTCTTAAGAGCAACATGCTGAAGAGTTGGTCTTGAGATCCACAGGTAATTTCATTTTTTCCCCTGTTTTTAGGCAGTGACAGTTTCTGCACAGACTGTCAGCTACTGCTATAGCTCTAACCTGTTTTTGTCAGTAATGCTTGTCACAATCAGTTCAAACTGGAGCCTCTTTCAGAATTTTCTTGTTTTGGGTAACTGCTGAAGTATTACTTTCATGACTTGAAATGTTGATAGCTCTTTATATCCCTCTTTTTGTGATCTTATTCTGGGTGGTCACAACAGGGAGAATTGTTGGTGAAAACATCTGTTGGTAATACACATAGTGCTTAGTATTGAATTGCTTCTTGAGAATGTTGCAAGAAGACTAGATTAAAAGTTTTAACATACATCTGTGTCTTAAAAGTGTCTTAAGAAAAACTATGTAAAAATGCAACTGTAGATTGCAAAAATGTTGCGTATTATTTTGTTGGTGTGGTTGTTTTTTTTTTTCAATTTCCACATCAGTTCTTCATTAAGATTCACTGAGAAGAGACCTTAGAAATATTACTTGAAATCTCAGACTGTGTCTCACACACTTTCGTATGATGTATGGGTAGAAAGATGTTAAATGCATAATATTAGCGGGTAGAACTGTTGACGTCTTTCAGGTCTGCTTCAAGACTTGGAGTAGTAATTTGACATTAGGTTGCTTCTCTGTGTTATTAGGGAAAAGAAATTTGTAATGTTCTTCTTTAGCCAAATAATGATCAGGCTTTTTCATGAAGTACACCTTACAGTGCAGGATTTAGTGCCAGCCACTGACTGTATGTAATGCTTTCTGGGTAGAACCTTTCATGTGTTTTGTAGTAGCATTTGTTGGCAATAGTAGCTAGCAGAGGTGATGACTGAGTTCTCCAGGTTATGGAAAAAGGTTCTCTTCATCTTTCTCATACCTGTGTTCAGGAGGCAAGTATTTTCTGGTCCCTTCCTTGCCCTTCTCTCTCAAAAGTAGTGCTGCTTTGTGAAATCATGAGTGTGAAACTCCTAAACACTTGAGATTTTAGTGTAGATCCTGTTTTGCCAGTGAAGGTTATAGCTGTGAGGTCTTTGCCCTCTGACTTGAGAGGAGTGTTGGGAAGCGTGCTTTGCTCTGAGACTTTTGGGATATCCTCTGTGTGTCTGTGATCCGTGTCAGGAGCAGTGACACTTACTATTGCAGTTTGACCCTGTTTTTTTGATGCTTGGGGAAGGCCAGTTCGTCTTCAGTACAACATATACTTCTCTACCTCTAAGCCATTCAGAATGAGGAAAGATTGTAAGGTTTTTGTCTAATAAAAGCTATTGCTTTTCCAAATATCTTTTTCTTTAGGGATATCATGACACTGCCATATGCTATTGTGAACACAATAAAAATAAAAATCCTGTGTGCATTTTGAGATAGTTTTACTGTTGCTGTTCAAAGGTCTTCCAAGATGCAGCACGATTAAAACCAAGAGACTGTGTTTGTTTTGGTGATTTGATTAGCTTCTGTTCTCTTGGCTGCAGCAGTGACACAGTCATAACCATGTCTATAACTTTGGGAAAGGAGAGTAATGGTCGTGAAAGGCTGTCTTTATTGTGCTTCTCATAGAGGAAGGCTAAAGTGGAGTGTATCTATACACGTATGTACACCTTTACAGAAGTAGTGAGGGAGATAGATGTGTGCCTTATTCTTTCTTCAGTTTTACATATGAATTCACTTCAGAGTGAAAGAGTCACTTCAGCAGTTGCTGAAGATATGGGAGGTTTTGGAAATGTATTAGCATCCTATTAACTAAAATACAGGTTAAAAAAAAAAAAAATCCAGTGTGCTAGGAAGGCAGTTCAAGGATAAATTTGTTGATAAGGAGCTCCTGAAGAACTCTGCTGACAGATGA